AATATATAGCATTGGAGTGGATGAGATATATAGCACTGGGTGTGGATGAGATATATTGCATTAGGTGTGGATGAGATATATTGCATTGGGTGTGGATGAGATATATTGCATTGGGTGTGGATGGAATATATTGCTTTAGGTGTTGATGGAATATATTGCTTTAGGTGTTGATGGAATATATTGCATTGGAGTGGATTAGATATATAGCATTGGGTTTTGATGAGATATATAGCATTGGGTGTGGATAAGATATATTGCATTGGGTGTGGATGGAATATATTGCATTGGAGTGGATTAGATATGAAGCATTGGGTTTGGCTCAGATATTTTACATTGGTGTGGATTTGATATATAGCATTGGTGTGGATGAGATATATTGCATTAGGTTGGATGAGATATATTGCTTTGGGTGTGGATTAGATACATAGCATTGGAAGTGGATGTGATATATTGCATCGGTGTGGATGAGATATATAGCATTGGTGTGGATTAGATATATTGCATCAGTGGGGATTAGATATATAGCCATGGTGTGGATGAGATGATAAAGCATGAGAGTGGATGAGATATATAACATAAGATAGGATGAGATATATAGCATTAGAGTGGATGAGATATATAGCATAATAGTGGTAGAGATTATATAGCATAAGAGTGGATGAGATATAAACATAAGATAGGATGAGATATATAGCATTAGAGTGGATGAGATATATAGCATAATAGTGGTAGAGATTATATAGCATAAGAGTGGATGAGATATATAACATTAGAGTGGATGAGATATAAACATAAGATAGGATGAGATGTATAGCATTAGAGTGGATGAGATATAAACATAAGATAGGATGAGATGTATAGCATTAGAGTGGATGAGATGAAATAGCATAAGAGTGGATGAGATATATAACATTAGAGTGGATGAGATATATAACATAAGATAGGATGAGATATATAGCATTAGAGTGGATGAGATATATAGCATTGGTGTGGATTAGATATATTGCATCAGTGGGGATTAGATATATAGCCATGGTGTGGATGAGATGATAGAGCATGAGAGTGGATGAGATGATATAGCATAAGAGTGGATGAGATATATAACATAAGATAGGATGAGATATATAGCATAAGAGTGGATGAGATATATAGCATTAGAGTGGATGAGATATATAGCATATAAGAGTGGATGAGATATATAGCATCAGAGTGGATGAGATGATATAGCATGAGATATATAACATAAGAGCGGATGAGATATATAGCATAAGAGTGGATGAGATGATATAACATAAGAGAGGATGAGATATATAGCATAAGAGTGGATGAGATGATATAGCATAAGAGTGGATGAGATATATAACATAAGAGTGGGTGAGATATATAACATAAGAGTGGATGAGATATATAACATAAGAGTGGGTGAGATATATAACATAAGAGTGGATTAGATGATATAGCATAAGAGTGGATGAGATATATAACATAAGAGTGGATGAGATGATATAGCATAAGAGTGGATGAGATATATAACATAAGAGTGGGTGAGATATATAGCATAAGAGTGGATGAGATATATAACATAAGAGTGGGTGAGATATATAGCTTAAGAGTGGATGAGATGATATAGCATAAGAGTGGATGAGATATAGCATAAGAGTGGATGAGATATATAGCATAAGAGTGGGTGAGATATATAACATAAGAGTGGATTAGATGATATAGCATAAGAGTGGATGAGATGATATAGCATAAGAGTGGATGAGATATATAACATAAGAGTGGATGAGATATATAGCATAAGCGTGGATGAGATATACAGAAAACTACAGTCAAAGGGACAACTAATTTTAGTTTGTTATGACAGTAGTTCGTTATAAGCATTTCAACATGTCCTATGTTTATTAATCTCATAATGACATAAAACGCATAACAAGTAAACAAGTGTCATAGAGATATTAATGGCACAGTTTTATTGACATACAGACACAAGTGTCACTTGCCATGGAGTTGTCTTACTTGATCACCCATTTGTGGAAAATTCTCTCGTCATCCATGTTTTGGAGTTGAATTTGTGATTGACTGGCAAACTTTAAACGTTTTGAAACGCCTTAGATTCTCGGATTCGGGCGCTGTTTTACTATTGTTAATTGAAGAAATTAATCACTTGCTTTTTAATTGTTTATTGCCACTTTAAACAGCCGTGCATGGCCGCAGATGTTTTGATTGGCTGATTGGTAACACGTGAGCACCAGCAGAGATTAACAGTTTGTTATAAACATAAACATTTTAACAGAGTACACGCGGGACCACAAAGTGAATTCACTATATCTGTTATTTCATCATAAGCGTGTTCCTCGTATCCAACAATTTTATATAATAAAATATACAGCAAATGGCCGGGACCATAAAAACAGTTTGTTATATTCATCAGTTCATTATACAATATTAAAAAAAATATATATAAGGATGTTCGTTCAATGTAGCTTTCTCTTTAGCATTGTAGTGGATAAAATATATTGCATTGGATTGCAACAGATATTGCATTGAGTGTGGATGGAATATCTGGCATCGGTGTGGATAAGATATATTGCATCGGTGTGGAGCTAGTAGATATTAAAAGTATATCACAGGCAAAAGAGACACTTGAATTGACATTTTAAGAAAACAAACATTTCTATTGATGTTTACGAAGCCTTCACTTTAAGATGAACTTATTCCCATGTGACCAGGTGATGTAAGAGATTAGAAATTAATTTAATTTTTACTATCCCACTAAAATGATCAGTTACATCGTTGCCGTCAATGTTAAGTGATTGTCCACAAAGAAATACAATCTAACACCGTTGTCTCAAACTTTAATGTGTCAAATTGCGGCTGTCTCGAAGTTAACGTTTGGTCCCTACATATTCCTTCTTTTTTCATCATTTTCGGTTGCCTCAAACCTCGGATAACTCGAAGTATTTACGTAGGTTCCTTCAACTTCGACCCCACAGTGTTTGACTGTATCACTAGGCCTTCCTGAAGTCTCTGACTAACACTTATGACACTTGCGAACCCAGACACGTAATATGTTATGGTTGTGATATAATACTTCCCTAACCTCTATTGCTTAATTACTGCTAAAACCTTTTTCAGTAAGGTTATATAAGTGACAGTTATCACGCATTTCAACATGTGGCCACATACAGAGTTTGCTTTTATCACCTTCTTAATGAGTGACTTCAGGTGTTTGGGCCATGAAGATAGTTTTTTTCAGTTTTTTTTAGATTGGACAATGAAGATCTGGCAGAAGTTAGTGCTGGTTATCACTTTGAATATTCAGATTGAAATCCCAGCCCTCCCAGCACTCATTATGCATTTGTAATTGTTTTAATTTCAAAAATGATGTAATGTTTCTTAAGCCACTGAAACAACTGACGATTGACGTCTCTTTTTAAGAGACTTTAAAGGTGAGGTGAGGTGAGGTGAAATGGGGTTTAACGTCGCGTCCAAGATTATTGCACTTATATAGCAACGTACATGCCGTGTATTTGTGTGTGTGTGGCTGTTTGTACTAGTCCGGACTGATGCCGATTTATAGTGCTAGCACACTGAGATACAGTATACTGACTCCGAGCCAACCAGTCCTTGTTTTAGCCCCTTAATGCCGAGCGCCGGACAGGGTAACAACAAGTACCATCTTTTAACGTCTTTTTGTATGACGTGGCTGGGGATCGAACCCCAGACCTTCCGCTCTCCAGGCAGACGCTCTACCATTAGACCACGGAGGCGGTCCCAGACTTTAAAGAAACAAGGCCCATTTGATAAGAGATGAAGGATACATGACTGTCAATTTCATTAATTTACACCGGTTACAATGTCTTATTGTCATTTCATTAATCATGACATTGCCAAAGAATATAATTATATCCTTCTTTTTCAGTTTCTTAAACATATTTTTGGGTAAGAATTAGACATGATAGTAGATCAATAATGGTTCAGACTATAACATGTTATATTTGGGATTACACTTTCGTAGTAATTGTTCAGAATTAATTACCTTTTATGGGATCGATCTCGCCTGCATTAGTAGAAATGATATGCCAATATGATATTCTACTTAAGAGTGGATATGTAAATTTGATCTGAAACAAGTTGTCTTTAGTTCAAACTTTTAGACTTAAGAAGTTAGCAACTTTTTGAAGTTTCAAAGCAGTCATATCTGAAAGTTTGTGTGTGCAGATGTATCTTGTTTGTAACTATCATTACATATTCTTACTATGGATGCCCATTTTTAAAGTCTTTAAATATCATCTGTTGCTTTGGATTTGAAAGAAAAACATGGCTAGAAATTTTCAAACCGATTTCTACAAATTTTGTTTATGATTATATGTATCTTGAAATTTCATCAATACAATTTTAATTGAAGTCATATTTCTGGAGAAATTTTAATATTTATCATGATTCTAACAATTTTGTTTGGTTATCTCCTCATCGTTAAGTTTCTCACTCAACTTTAATTAACTTTTACCTGGTACATTTTACTAACATTTGTCTTACATGTTTACTGGTTTTATCTGTATGGAGTGTTACATCAAAAGAAATTTTTACATCAAAAAGTCATTTATATTTTTTGTCCATGGTACTTTCTAATTTAATAGTCATAATGCATTCACTGAAACTGAAAGTGGTTAAGATTATCCATACAGGTTATGAGTTTATCAGGACAAGATAGGCGGGGAAGATGTTGGACTGTGAAAGTAATTAAATACCTTGTCTGCAATGAGAACAACAGACCCTCTCTTCACCACACCACACTCAACAAGCATGCTTGGTTAACCCGAGCACCTTATCCTGATCTACAAACCCATTTTATCATCAATCACACATTAGTCCTTAATCAAGACAATTAATTTTAACAAGCTGCTGACGCCTACAAATTTTATCTTTTAGATAATCGCTTGTCTTTATGAAAGTTTTAAAAGTTTGAAAAAGTATAAAATCATTTTATGACATACCTAGACTTGTCCGATCCTGAATTGAATTCCGTGGTTCCAAAGGTCAGAAAACCATCCATGGGTATGTGAAATGCTATGGGTTCCACTGAAGATCCCATAGTATCCGGATGGAGTAAATAGGACTGGTTGCTAAACTACCATCACAGTGAGTGCTGTCCCACTGGGTTCTCTATGTTTCTGTGCAGAGAGTGGAAGAGGGATGTGTCTCACCGGCTCTCTTAAAGGCACAGTGTGTATGTATGTCTGTCAGCTGTTACACACCTTTCATACACTACACGCAACATGTGCGTCCAAACAAAGGGGATATTCAGACAGGCGGTGCCAGTGGTTGATCCTGATGGTGATTGGAGGGGGTAGGAATTAACAGTGATGATGGACTTGGGATGGATAACTTTTGAAGATGTGACGGGTGGTGGGATGGCTATATCACTGCCCTGCCCTGCCCTGCCCTGCCCTGCCCTGCCCTGCCCTGCCCTGCCCTGCCCTGAACAGGAACTTTTTAGAAGGAAGTGCAAAAGAACTTTTAGGAAACATTATGACACAGTTCACTCAGGACTTGCTGTATTTTCATGAGAGATTCAAACACAGGTTTTTAATATTTCTGAAAACTCATATCTAGTTCTGAAAAAGAAGTAGTGTAAAATTATTGTCCCCCTGAGATGGTTTGTAAGACCAAGTCTTTCAAAGTATGTTTATTTCTGCCACATTTTTAATCGCAGAATATATGTTCCTTTAAATTTTGGCTAAATTTGTCAATAATTGCCAACAGCTGAGGGGATGATGTAAATCTGGCTGGGGTCCATGCAGGTAGCAAAAGTACTGTAAGTCCCCATGGACCCTAGCATGGTGATCCACCTTCAGATGCTGGCGATCTATAGCCCTTTTTTATATTGTAAAAAATGTTTCGTGACTATTTAGTGATACCTTTTTATTGTTGTATGCTAGTTTTAAACATTAAATCTGTGATATTCTAGTAATTTTACTGTCCGTCGCTGACAGGTTTTTATTTGGTTTAGATATATGTATAAATACTATATAACTTCTCGTCATGATATGGCTGAAATATTGCTGATGTGACGTAAAGCATAAACTCACTCACTCACTCACTCTGAAAAGGATATGGTTAAATATTTTTGTTAAGTTGTCTTATAATATATTACCCTGGTATGGAAAGAAGCCCAGGGAATATCTTGAAGAAGTCTTGACTGACCAAAATATGAGACCCACCAGAAGAAAAGAGCTGTGACGTCACAAAGAAAGACGTTTGACGTCAACTTACTCCCGTAATAATTGCCACGTTTGCGGACTGTACAAAAATATCTCATTTTTCATTCATTAGTTCGCAATGTAACGGAAACATTCTTTCAAAAAATTCTAGCACACATGTCTGCTTTCAATTAATCAGATATTATTTTCTAATAACTGCAGTCAGTACATACAGAGTTTTCAGTCTGAAAAAGGGACTTTGCAGAAAATGAGGCCAATGTTTGATGCTATGTGTCTCTGTAAAAAATATGAATTGAAGCTTGTGGGTTGTATTTTTGTGGTCCTAAGATATTGTAGTTTTGAACTATATCAAGAAGTCAAAAAGTAATTGTTCACCAATAAGGTCTCTTATTTCATGGTCAAATATTATAAACCTGTAGGGGATTTCTTGGCTATTTTTGGTATCAGGGTCTGTATGAGAAACAAATATTTCCAACTCTGCTGGACAATCCAAGTCTGGGTTGGCATGAACCCAATTCTCTAAAACGAAAGTTTGCGTCACACACGCTTAAGTGATTATACATGGCACTGGTACTTGAGCTCGAGGATGGAGATGTGATAGGTAAGCTGTGTGGTGTAATTGTGGTATTATGTCCATTATAAGTGATGCGGATGCTGTCAAAAGACGTAATTAACCTTTCCGGACCAAGACCATACAGATATTGGGATTACACAAATAGCTGTGTATATCTCTTGGTTGTTTTGGCATTGATAAAGTCCTGTGTTTATTCATCAATAATCTTGTCTTTACTGATAATGACATTATTAGCTGTTCATTTAATCAGCTGCACAAATATAACAATAAATCTTGCCACTGTTTATCAGGAACTAATAAATGTCTTCAACTGATACTTAAAGAGAAAGTCAAAACTTCTTCTGTTTTGGGGGGGGATTTGATAAGTTTCTCAGATGACAGCATCCGTTGATGTTAGTCAACCAAGTTGGACCCCAAGGTTACTTTAGTCGCCTTTTTAACGGTGTAGACTCGCAACCCTCTGGTAATTTGACTCAATTATGCACACCGGTTTTTAAGTTATACCTCCCTTTAAAACACAATAAATATAGAAGTAAATTCTTATGAATATATACATCAACACTAATAACTTCGCAGGCTGCTTATTTAATCATTTTCACCAAAAAAAATGAACACAACAATACAGAATCAGTGACATCATTCAGCCCACTAATGCAACACAAGACCCACCGGTTGTCAACCAATCAAGAATCAGTCGTCTGTTGTAGGTTGTGGCCTAATACTTTTTAGTTTATGGAAACATTAATGTGACCGAAATGTCCACAGAATGAGTGTCTTGCCATGTGTTTATTTCGCCATATCACTCCCTGATATATCACTTCACAGTGGTGACATATTGAGTACAAATACTGTCGTTAAAGGACCAGCTGCTAATATACAATAGTTGGACTTGGGCAGTGAACTCTAACTCATACCAGCATTACAGCTGACACTGTTCCAAAGTGGTATTAAATCTTACTCACAAGCTCCCATGTTGAAGGTAGCCTGTCTCACAGTCACTGAATCATTGTTCTCCCTTCAGCCAAGCCCTCCCTTTAATGCTATAGCTCTAAATGAAGCAAGTCTAGATTTTCCTCATGTTCTGAAGGTCCAATCTCACTGGGGCTCCTTTTCAATTAAATTGGAGTTGTTTGTCTTTCAAAAACTTATAGAGAGTCAATATGTTTAAGGTTGAAATGGTCTTTTCCTGGTACTGAAGCTACGAGCTGTCTTGGTGTCGGAGATACAGATGTCCACAATAGTCACCCAAACCAGCAATAGCGATCAGCTGCACCAAAGTGCTACGCTTAGGGTTATCATTTTTTTGAATATATATAGTAAAAGCTGCAACTAAAATAACAAGATATTTAATATATTATTCCTGATAAAAAAAATAGTTTTAGATACAATTTTTCCCAATTCTTGCATTAAAATCCTTTAAAGTTATATCATTGGGTATGTTGACCAAATCACCGGTAGATTCCAAGAAAACGTGTGTACAGCTGATTGCTGTTTCCGGCTTAGTTTACGATTAAATCACAAGGTAATCTTAATCCCTGCATGTAAAACAATGCCTAGCAGAACAAAAAAAACAATTTAAATGGTAAATCAACATGTCTGGTGATTTTGTTATCTCAAATTTCAAATTTGTGCTGACCATGTTTCTTATCACCCGTTTGTTTACCAGAATTAGCTGAAGGGGTATGGTGTAATATTTTAGTGAGCATAATATCTATTTTAATAATAATGTTTTTGTTTTCCAAATTACTAAATCTGCTAGAGTGGGATGCGCATTATACTTGGGTGCGAACTATACTCATGAAAATACGCTACTTCTACAAGTTCTAAGAAGTACGATACACGTTTTGGGTGACCATTGTAAACAGACATCAGACATGAGCAGGCACCAGGGACTCCAGGAGAGGATCAGCAGTAGGTGGTTGTGGGCGGACCCGATTGGATGACCACAGGAGCCTCCATCAGGACTCCATCAACATACCAGCAACTATTTACATCAGTGGTAGCTGTGGTAATTACATCTCAGGCTGATCCTCTCGTGTAGCGTCTGTATATGCCCCCAGTCACTTAATAGAGTATGTGTACATGAGATTCATGGCTGTTTCTCAGATCTTTGGTTTCCATATCTGTGGTAGATCTTACTATGGCAGGGCTACAAATGTATTGAATTAGTAAGAATTTTGGGGTGTTAGTGACACCATCTTCACTTGACAAAATCCCAATGAATAATGGAGGAGTAATGTATAAATATCACCAACTCACCTGAATGAACTGTTACAATACTTGTAAAATAATTGTGACATTATATGTTATAATAATAAAAATATGATGCACTGAATAATATAATTGTGGTTGAATTTACACAGCAATGTCATCATCTAATATGTTGGACAGGCGCTGTGCATATAAATTGTTATTGTAGTTGGTCTTTCTGGTGGAAGCCTGCTTGTCCACACCCCACAATCTGGAAACCAAGCTTACCCAGAAACCCTGATGACCAGATGAATGTATAAAATATAAAAACATGACTACAGAAAATGTTGCATTTATCCTGAATTTGGATCTGGAGATGGTGAATTTCACTCACCAACAACCATGCTATTATGCTCCACTTGCCGGACAATGCCAATGCATAATGATGTTTGTTTAGTAGGTCATCACATGGCACAATCTGTTCTTATTCGTTTGTTTTCCTTGAATAAAGCGAATATGCATATGCATCTGAGTTTTTGGTAAAATATTTTGTTTAAGATAAGGGGAGCTAACTCTGGTCTGTTAGTTTAATGATTCACATACCTTGACATTCATTTATCCAGACAACAAGTATCTGGATAAGCGAGTTCCACTGACTCGTCTCATATTAAAAACACAGGTCTGTGTACTCGCGGGCAGATGACCACAGAGTACGCTGATCACTGGGCGGATTAACGAGACTGATCAATGAGTGATTTTGGTAGTTTGTTGCAAATTAGGTGTGTCGGAGTCGGAGTGAAAGACTGTCGGATTAACGTGTCCAAATAGCACTGTTTAATCAGTTCCCATCATTTGTGTCAGATAAAGCCGATTGTTGGATTAACAAGTGTCGGATTAACAAGACTTGACTGTATTTGAAAGGGCTATGGTAGAGAACTAATTGAGACCAAGTAGATGTATGGAGAGAACAGCAAAAGAAGAAATGAATCTTCAACCTGTCTTGAATGGCAGAGTTTAGATACTCACTCTTCTCTAGGAGAGATGGATTATCTTCCTCTCACAGTCTCCAAGTTACGTATGAGCACTTAGTTGTAATTCTGTAAGTGCCTTACTGTGTTGAATAATGTCAACCATACTTGTATGAATATAGGTACTTGTTGTTACGCTGCCTGGCGCTTGGCATTAAGGGGATAAGACAAGGACTGGTC